CAATCAAATGAACATTTATTTGCAACAGTTAGTTGCCATATCATCTGCCAAAACGTATAACTCAACAAACAGTTTAACCATAAAACTGTGGTTACTTGTCCTTCTTCTCTTAACTATTAATACATTCAAGTTATTAACATCGAGAAATATTTAGTTCTTTTTCTTCTTTTTTTTTTTCAAATACTCTAAAACTTGACACAATATCTTCTAAATTTTTCTCATCCATATTTTTTCAGTTTCATTCATCAGTAAAACATCGTCCCATCATATGACAGCATAGAATCTTAACTGGCTTCTTAAGTATTTTCTCCAAAAAACTGGCAGCTCATTCATTTATCTATTCATTTACTCTGCCGTTTAAAGCGTTATTTCATTTAATCTATTCCACTTTCCTAATATCCTTATTTTAACACCTAAGAGTAGTTGGCAGCTTTATCTGTTCTGTATTCATAATATCGCTAAACTATTAGTCAACAACAGAAGACCACTGAAAAATGAGTGAACACAAGCAGTAACTTATTTGGCAGCGGTGAATGACGCTGATTTCAAACCATATAACTTCCTTAATGTTCTTATGATCCGATCTGAATTTTTTTTTCCTCTCTCGCAATACCGAGCATTTCAACAACTAACAGCATTTTTCAACCAACAAAACTAATTAATTTGTTCACTGAAACTATCTTTCTGAGGCATCAAATTATCCATTATAATCAAGCATTCATTGATTTGGCAAATAGCTGTTACCGTTAAGAAAGATAAAACAACTGACGTCCAAAAATTTGTAGCTAATAGTTTTACTCAAACCTTTCTCAATTTTCTTTTATCTTTTTATGTCCTTTTCTTCCCAGTTTTTCATTTTTCAAGCACTGAAAAGTGATTAAATGCTATTGACAGCAACATATCTAACAAAATATAGTGATAACAGTTATGTATCCAATAACCACAGTATGAACAAGGGACATTCCAACAATCTTTGAATATATCAATAATAAAAAAATAAAAAAACAACAATAGCAGAATAATCAACGATCCTATAAAAATGAAGATAGTCAAACTTCTTCCAAAAAATCTTCCGTAAAGAAATCCTATTACATTTTGACAAATCTTACTCCGGTTATACATCCTTTTTTTCGCCAAGTTAAAACTTCATTTAAAAAATATCAGCCAAAAAATAGGAAAAGTTTAAATAGCCACCATTTTTTTCTTTGAAATATTTTTCACAAGACTTCTATAGGCAGCATACCACTGTATGTTTTAAGAATCCGTATCAATGCTGCAAAAGGGCTTTCAAGTTCATAAGAAAAAGGAAAAAAAAAGTGTAAAACCGGTAGAGACTTTTTTAAGGCTACAAATTTTGCACACTTCAATGCCACCCCCTCTCTCTCTTCACCACACTTTCCTCCCGTTTCCAGATGATGACTTCTGAATAATCAAATACTATCGTAATTTTAAAAAATAGAAAACAATAAAAAAAAAAAAATTACTGACACCAAAGTAAACAACCGAAACAAAAAACCACTGCTTACCCAGCAAAACATTACATCAACAAATTTTTTTCATATATATTCATCAAGAATAAAACTGGAAAAGTCGCTAACTTTTCTGGCTATTCATAGCTGCCGGTGAAAAAAATTCTTACAAAACTTTTAACATCTTAATGTAAAAAATTCAGCGTCAATTTCAAAAAATGATGT